TGTTGTTAAACAAACGTTTTAACATCTCTATTTAATTATGTACAAGCTACCCAGTGTCGGCTAACAATACGAGGAATTAAGTTGTAGCGAAATGTTACAAGTTCTTCAAATACCTATAGGATGGTGGGTTTCTTTTTTGTGAGTGTAAAACACTTAAATAAAGTATTGTACTATACAATCTACTGGGTTTGTTTTTAGTTTTGATCTATGTAGGTAGCTTGGTTTGATAATAAAACATGGAATAAATTATCTCTTAAACTATTTAAATGTTTAATTTCTAACTTCGGTAGTCACATTTTACTTCACCTTTGATCTGAATTCTAAAGTTAATGTTTAAAACTTTGAATCAACTAAGCAAGTACCTAATGCAACTCCAGTGGAAAGACCTGTGGATGTACTTGAAGCTGGTAAACTCATGAAAGCTGGGACTCCTGTTGTGGCACTTGTTGCTGGTTGCGTGCTCCTAAGACCACTGAACAGCACCGGTGCTGACGTTGTTGTTTTGTTTCCAAAGAAACTTAAGGTATTTGTTCCTGAAAACAGATAGTTCACCTTACGAACATTTCTAAAGTACTATTGTATTTTATCATTACAGTTTATCTCACGATTAATTCAAGTTCCAAAAAAATATTAAAACAAGGAAATCTAGAAAAAATAAATACATTACAACTTTTTATAGCCTAGTACTTATTTTTCTAATATTAATTTTTTTAATAAGAAATGTAACATGTTTAAAAAATTGTTATGACTGATATTTTCTCCTTTTTTTACAAAATAATTTTTTTTGCTTTACTTAAGTAACCTGAATTTTTTATACCTGTAACATTACTTCCTGTTTGTGAACCGAAGAGAAGAGGAATGGATGTGGGTTGACTTGTAGTGGTACTGATGAAGAAAAAATAAACACGTCTTTATTAAGTATCACACAAATGAAATGGACCTTTAATACAAACAAAACCTATATTGCAATCATACAAAAAAGTGAGAAAGACAGTTGGTAACAGTCACTACACAGAATTTGAACATTATCTATTAGCCGATGTCCATATTACCAAAGCCAGAAAACTGGTGGGTTCAATCTTTACAGTTTAAATATTATGTATAGCATGACTGTACATTATAACACATACTTATTTTAACTCGATGTTGAAAATGATGTGATTTTTATTATCGTAGTTCTGGAGATTAGAGGTTTTCTAAAACTCATCAGAACAGTGTTTAAAATATTTTACTAGTGAATTAGCTTTAGTATGTTTGTTGGAGTTCTCATTTTTCATGTTTCATTGGACATTTCAAGCATTAAGTTATTCATATATAAGATGAGTTACTGGTTTTGACTAAACTCAAACTTTACAAAACTTTGTTTCCTGATCTCAGGTTTTTAATTTCATCAAACAACAAGCATCATATTAAAACGTTCAAGACAACTTATCTGAACATCTGCTTAACTTCAAACAGAGAAACAAAAAATTACTGATATTACCACAGACATTTTATGTGTGTACTGTGATTGTCAAGCTAAAGGTTATCTGTTCCACAGACATTTTGTGTGTGTACTGTGATCGTCAAGTTGAGGGTTATCTGTTCCACAGACATTTTGTGTGTCTATAGTGTGATCGTCAAGCTAAAGGTTATCTGTTCCACAGACATTTTGTGTGTCTGTACTGTGGTAGTCAAGCTGGGGGTTATCTGTTCCACAGACATTTTGTGTGTCTATATTGTGACAGTCAAGCTGGAGTTATCTGTTCCACATACATTTTGTGTGTCTATAATGTGATAGTGAAGCTGGAGGTTATCTGTTCCACAAACATTTTGTGTGTCTATAGTGTGACAGACAAGCTGGGGGTTATCTGTTCTACAGACATTTTGCGTGTCTATACTGTGATCGTCAAGCTAGAGGTTATCTTCTACATAGACATTCTGTGTCTATATTGTGACAGTCAAGATGGGGTTATCAAACACAAAGACATTTTGTGTCTATATTGCGAAAGTCAAGTTGGGGTTATCAAACACAGACATTTTGTGTCTATACTGAGACAGTCACGTTGAGGTTATCTGCTACACAGACATTTTGTGTCTATACTGAGACAGTCACGTTGAGGTTATCTGCTACACAGACATTTCATGTGTGTACACTGTGACAGTCAAGCTGGGGGTTATCTGCTGAACAGTAATTTTGTGAGTGTAAATTATGACAGTCAAGCTGGGATTACCTGTTTGGGACTTGAGACACAATAGCTCAGTTAGCAAAGCACTGGCCTCACCCCATCAGTATGACCCTAGGGTCTCAGTGTTGGCCTCACCCCACCAGTATGACCCAAGGGTTTCCTAGGTCAGGGTTTTACCAACTGAGCTATGTGGGTTCAAGACCACCCCTCCTGTCTATTACAACATCAAGAAAGCTAATATCCACAATAAAGTTAGAATTACATAGATCTTTACCTAATGCCAGTGAAACCTCCAACAGGCTGTTGAGTTTGAGGCTGTAATCCAAACGAAAATCCATGACTTGTACTGCTCATGTTTTGTTATTCACGCTGGCTGCAGTATCTGCAAATCATAATACTATAAAACTATCTTAAAATACAATAAAGCAATACATTGCAGTAAAAATGTCGGAGACCTAGTTTCTCGGAAGTTCTTAGAAAATGAGTACCCTACTTATAATACTAACCCAGAAAGTTTAATGAAATAAATAATTTCTTCTGAACAAATGAATCATCTTGTTTGAAGCCTAGAACGTTAATAAAAATCTTAAATTTGTTTCCTCTTGGCCTATTATATTCAGAAAAAACAACAACAGTTTTTTACCTTTTAATCTTGTAAACTTTAATAATAAGATCAATTATTAATCTTCCTGTTACTGGTAGTGAAGTGAATATAGTCTTGGGGTGTATTTATGTACATTGATTACAAGTAAAAAAGTGGTAATTATCTCTCTATACAAATCACGACAGACTTCACATGGAATACTGTGTACAGTAAGACAGGATATTGACTTATTGGAAAGGATTCAGAAGGAGGCCACCAGGTTGATTCCAGGAATGGAAGTATCGTCTTATGGGTATAGGTTAAAATTGTATTTTCTCTTGAGAAGTACCACTACCTTGAGTGACTTATTGGTCAGAATGCCAATTTGCCACTGCAGATAAAGCTGAATGATTAGTGAAATTTCATGATTAATTGTCAGGTTCCTTAGTTGATTATTCTCACAAAAGAGACTTGGATAGTTGGATTTATCAAAAAAATAGTAATAATTAGAAACATTAATTTTGCTTTGTTCATTATTTTCATGGGTCATACCACAAATATTAAACCTGAAAAACTGTGAATTAACCAAAAATGATAATGAGAAATTGTATCATTATTATTTCAATTACTTGGATAGGTGGAATAATAGAAAACATTAATTACAATTAGTTTGCTATTTTTGTGACATCAATTTATTCATAATTTTGATTATTTTACATGACACTAATCGATGCTCACAGCTAATTGGTTAATTGCTCATTTCTACTGTCAGAGCTACTTAACCCGGCTTTCAGTGATCACTTGGCATAGTTAGAGAAGTGGTGATATCTCACAAACAAGGTTCTCCATACTATTTCAGAACTTGGGGTGTCAAATTCTGAGTGTAAAGCTTTGAAATGGTTACGACAAGTGACAAACCCCAGTAGGCCTCTTTTAGTCCAACAATCAGATTGTCTCAAAAGGTACAACAGCTGTTACAGATAACAGTATATTATCATACACCTTAAAAACAAACTACTTGATAATCTGACTAAATTTGTGTTTCTTTTGATTATAAACTGTTGATATGAGGGCTGGACTAATCAAATTAATTAATAAGTTCCCCAAGAATATGCAAATAGATTCAATAACTCTCTCTCTATTTCATTGAAAAGTGTGAGGTCTCAACACAGTACAAAAACCACATAACATCTGAGCTCAAATTGTTTACATGCACCAAGCCAATTTGTAATGCACACTATATAAACATTTCTAACATTCACCTCAAAACATAAATGTGCTCCATATCTATGATTACTCAAAAATCTGTAACTGCATTAAGAACACTAAAAATTAATAGGTTATTTATACTCCTTTTTTTTCAAACACACTAGCTAAAATTTCTGTGTAAATGTACCCATATGAAGTAATGTATTAATTAATAGGTTATTTTTACTCTTTTTTCAAACACACTAGCTAAAATTTCTGTGTAAATGTACCCATATGAAGTAATGTTTTTGTGCATATACTCATAAATCTGTGCATGACCTAATTGGGATTCCAGTTTTTGAGAACCCTGATGAAGCAAACCATTGTTTTTTTCTGTTTTGAATGAGTTATATCCTTTCTTTAATGTTAGTTTCATTAACAATGTTCATCAAGACGTTAATACATATACTAATTTATATTATGTATACTTATTACTTTGCATTGTTAGAAGAAAATGTTCAGAGGTGTTCTTATTAAAGCTGACAAGATTATTTGGAGGAAGATTGATAGGATAAAGATTCTCCAATTTTTTTTTTTTGTGTGCTATATTTCTAAAGGCAGGCCCGGCATGGCCAGGTGGTTGAGGTGATCGACTCGTAATCTGAGGATCGCAGGTTCAAATCCCCGTCACACCAAACATACCAACCTTCGCCTTTGCCTGGTCCCAAGTCTAGGATGAGAAAGGAGGAGGTTTGGGTGCGGGGCTAGCAACTCCACCCCGTAAAAACCAACTTGCTACAAGTAACTGCAACAACACCTTCCGTTGGTGAGGTGTTGTTGCGGCCCTATGCTCCACTGGGAGTTTACAGGAATAAAAAAAAAATATTTCTAAAGATGATAGGACAAGAAAATGCAAGTTTAAAACTGGGTTAAAAAATAGCTGAACTTCAGTTCAGACAGTTTATTTTAAAAACATGGTGACTGACTTATGGAATGAGCTACCATCTGCAATATTGGAGGCCAGCACTTTAACATGAGAATCGATTTCTTGAACACTGCACAGTAGGTTTAAATTTTTCTTTACCCAAGCCAAGGTGAAAAACGTGAAGTTTAGCTTAGTTAGGAAATTAAACAATAAAAAATTCAGACCACCAGAAAATTCTAGAAAAAAACAACAACAAAACTGTTAACCTAGTACTACCACTATCACTAAAAGAATCAGACTCGTATTCATAAGTACTAAAGTAACTTTTATTACTAGTAGTAGAATAGCAAATTCATGATTCCAATTCCAGTCATAGACGCTATTTCTAATAATATTAGTAATATTCTATAAAGTAACGACTTATAAAAAGATATCACTGAATTAGGAATGACCCATAATCTAGTAAACAATACTTCACAAACCTTCAGTAATAACTTGGTTTATTTCTTATTTCTACCGAGGGTTGATCTTTTTGTAGCAGTCTTGTAACTTATAAGTTAAACGAGGACTAACGCGTTCAAGCTCAATGCTTTATGTGTACTTACTACCTGGAATTTTTACTTTTATTATATCCTTATACTGTGATAAAAGTATATATTTGGATAAGATTAAAAATACTTTATGAAATTTGAAGTCTGTTTAAGTTCTGATCACTTTTAACGTTTTAAAATCAATTTTTGGGGCAACGAGTCTAATCTTACAACACGAACCTCCCACAATTTGAAATAAGTGAAGTTTCTAACACAAGAGGGAAGTGATACTAATAAGTTAGGCAGAAAAATATACATAAAAATGATAATGCTGGTGAATTTGAGGTATTAAAATCAGTTTATTGTTTATAACAAGTAAATACTGGAAAGCAACAAAGTAGAAAATTTCATTTTTAAGTATTTATTTTATATAACATATTAGCCTGCATTGATGTTATTATTTGTTAATGTTTGGCAACTGTGCTGAAAATGTTCTTTAGAGGTATGACGCGCTTCACAAGGGTGTAATACACGCATGGATTTTGAATTTAAAGTCGATGGGTACACTGTCTAGTCTAAAAGATAATTAACATGATAATGCTAGAGATATACCTACCAAACTGTGTTTTTATGGTTGAATTAAAGGATATAAAATTGATTTCAGATTAGGAATTTTAAATTTGTCATTTACAACTTAGTGTCGGTAGTATGTACGGAAAGTTGTTTGTAGTTAATTAAGCACAAAGCTACACAATGGGCAACTTATGCTCTG